ATTTATCAGAAATGGTGTTACTAGGTGGGGTTGTATCATTCTGTCAGGAGTCTACAGATTCAATTGGTATATTATTACAAGAATTTAAATTTTTCGAAAATGAATTAAAAAAAAAATTCAAAAAACAAAAAAAAATTCAAAGACAATTTGTTATACATAATAAATTAGAGAGAACTGTATGACTAATTAATTTTCCTCTTCTTCTTCTTCTTCTTCTTCTTCCTCCTCCTGCTGCTGCTGCTGCTGCTGCTGTTCTTCCTGCTGCTGTTGCTGTTGTTGCTGTTGCTGTTGTTGTTGTTGTTGTTGTTGGTGGTGGTGGTGGTGGTGGTGGTGGTGTTGGCGGTGGTGGTGGTGCTGCTGGTGTTGCTGTTGCTGCTGTTGGTGTTGGTGATCGTGGTGGTGTGGCTGGTGGTGGTGGTGCTCAGGCTGATGGTTTTGTTGCTGCTGCTGAGGTTGCCGCTGCTTCTGCTGCTGCTGTTGCTGCTAATGCTGTGGATTTGATCCTTCAATGGGGATGCTTATCTTCAGCGTAGAGAGTAAACTGTTGCTGTTGCTGCTGTTGCTGCTGCTGCTGCTGCTGCAGATGCGTTCGAATTTCTTCTCTCTTGCACCCAAGTGTCTGCGCATGCTACGCAATGGGGCTTCCTTCTTGCATGCACAAGATGCTGTGCTGCATGGCAGAATGCTGAACCTCCTGCAGTGGCAGGGAGGTCCTGCTGCTGCTGCTGCTGGTCCTGGTGCTGCAGCTGCAGGTGCTGCTGCACCATTCACAGCACCGGCTCAAGCCCCAGCACTGCATGAACTCTGCTGCTACAACAACAGCAGCAGCAACAGCAGCAGCAGCAGCAGGGTGCTGCGCATGCAGGGGCTAGTTGGCGCAGAGTTTGCTGCAGATTGCGAGGAGATCCTTCCGCGGGCTAAAGAGGCACTAAGCAGATGGCGCCAGCAGCAGCAGCAGCAGCAACAATCGCAGCAGAGCGAAGGGGAGGCGAACGGAGGGGAGGAGCAGTTTTACGCACAGGTATTCATATACTACAATAATTTAGGGTTTAGGGCCTACTGTCTAGGGTTTAGCGTTTAGGGTTTAGGGTTTGGATCCCTTCTTGTTTGCTGTCTGAGGGTTTGTTTTGCTGCAGGCGCTGCAAGATCTGCTGCAGCGCAGCGAAGCACTTGGCAGAGAAAGAGACACAAGAGACAGAAGACAAGCAGCAGCAGAGTGTGGTCTCTTCCCTCCTGCTCAAGAATGTACGTCTAGGGTTTAGGGTTTAGGGTTTGGGGTTTATGGTAGAAATTCCTTTTTTCTTCCCTCCTTGTACCAGTTTTTGTGCCGCGACAGCAGTTCTTTTCCTCATTATCCTTACTCCTGCTGCTGCTGCTTGTGCTGCTGCTGTTGCTGCTGCTGCTGCTGCTGCTGCAGATGTACCTCCTGGTTATATGCTATGGCGTTGCCTTGGTCTATCTGGCCGTGGCGTTCTTTGGCAATTGCTGCAGAAGGAGACACTAGATCTATCCTTAATTAAATATCATTACCTGTCTCCTGCTGCAGTAGCAGCAATTGCTGCTGGTTCTCCCCTACAGCAGCAGCAGCAGCAGCAGCAGGGGAGGGAGCAGCAAGGGGAGGAGAAGAGGATGGAGAAATTGCAGCAGCAGGGTCTTAAAATTCTTCAAGATAGAGTTGTTGCTGCACTGCAGCAACTGCAGCAACTGCAGCAACTTGCTGCTGATCAGCAGCAACGATCTGTTGTCTTTGCTACGCATGCAGAGATTAAGGGAGGACATCTATTAGAGGTCGTCCCTTATCTTGAGTGTACGTACATTTGCTGCTGTTGCTGCTGCTGTTGCTGTTGCTGCTGTTGCTGTTGCTGCTGCTGTTGCTGTTGCTGCTGCTGCTGTTGCTGCTGTTGGTGTATCGCTTCGGTTGCTGTCCCCCTTGACGTGACGCCTCTTCATGTACTTGCTGCTGCTGTTGCTGCTGCTGCTGCTGCTGCTGCAGGTGTCTGCCTGGAGGAGCTGCTTGCTAGGGGGTTGTCATACAGCAGCCCTGAGGGCCTGCAGCGCGCGCAGCTGCTGCTGCAGCAGCTAGCAGTAGGGATCGTCTCCCTAGGATCGATTTGCTGCTTGCTGCCCCTTAAGTTATCAAGAATATTTATACAAAAGGATAAAGTACTATTTGCTGCAGGGCTGCCTCTCTCCCTCCTGCTGCAGCCTGCTGCTGCTGCTGCGGATAAGGGAACAGCAGCAGCAACAGCAGCAGCAACAACACTACCATGCAGCTTCTTGTCGTCATTGCGTGTACCAACTGCTGCTGCACATCTATGGTCAGAGAGTTTGTGCTGCTGCCTCCCCCCCGAGTGTACAGACAGCTCAGGGGGTTGGTGCTGCACTGCAGCAGCAGCAGATAAAGCGCATGCATGGATGCTAGGTCTGCTGCTGCTGCGCCTAACAGTAGAAGCAAAAGGGCTGCAGAAGCAGCAATGGGCGTCGCTGCAGCAGCAGCAAATCAACAGCATGATCTCTAAGGTTGCAGATGCAAAGACACAAGTCAGTTGCTGCTGCTGCTCCTGCTGCTGCTGCTCTTGCTGCTGCTCCTAATGCTGCTGGGGTGGTGTTAATGCTGCTGCTGATGTTGTTGCTCGTTTTGCTGTTGATGCCATTGTTGCTGCTATTGTTGCTGCTGTTGCTTGTCTTCGTGCTACGCGTACTGTTGTGCATCCGGTTGCTGCTGCTGCTGCTGTTGCTGTTGCTGCAGGAGTTCCTTCGCGAATGTCTGCAGCGAGACCCAGAGAAAAGGCCATCCCTTACGCAGCTGTTGAGCTCGAGTCCCTACCTGCAGCAGCAGGAGCAGGAGCAGGAGCAGGAGCAGCAGCGTGATGCAGCAGCAGCAACTGCAATAGATGCAAGCAAGTGTTTCTCTCCTGTAAAAACCTGCAGCAGCAGCAGCAGCAGCAGAAGCAAAATCCGTACAAGAAGGCGCATACTGCGTGCAGCAGCAGGAGGCGCAGCAACAGCTGCAGCAGCGGGGGACACTGCAGCAAGCGGACTCGATACAGCAGCAACAGCAGCAGCAGCAGCTGCTGCTGCTGCACCGACCCGTCAGCCGTCTATCGCAGCAGAAGCAGCAGGAGCAGCAGGAGCAGCAGCAGCTGCTGCTGTTGTTGCTCTTGACCTCTCATGTACTAAGACCATAGGGGAGAAGAGGCAGCGCTGTGCTGAGGAAATTCCCTGCAGCAGCAGCAGCAGCGAAGTCCGTACTCCTCGTAATACAGATACAGCAGCAGGATCAGCAGCATCAGCAGCAGCAGCAGCAGCAGCAGCAACACCAACAGCAGCAGCAGGAGGAGGAGGAGGACATAATACACCATCCTTGTTACCTCCTTTATTAGGTATGCGTTTACCTGAGGCATTACAAGAGCATATAGTAGGTAGTACATCAACAAGTGCAGCAGCAGCAGCAGGAGCAGCAGCAGCAGCAGCAGCAGGTATATCAAGAGTAACAACAAGATTAGTAGATTGTTGTGATGCAATATATGGTGATGTTGGTTACTTAGTTCCTTTATTAATAAAAAATAAACAAAAAAAGAATAAAAAAGAAGAAGAAGGTGTTGCTTTCTATAGGCATAATGATCCATTAGATATCTACTCTGTTGCACCTGAATCAGTATTACCTCCTAGTCAGCAGCAGCAGCAGCACCAGCACCAGCAGCACCAGCAGCAGCAGCAGCAGCACCTGCTCCTGCAGCAGCAGCATTCGCTTAGTCCTACTGCAGCAGAAGCAGCAGCTGCTGCTGCAGCTGCTGCTGCTGCAGCTGCAGCAGGTGGTGGTGGTGGTGCTGCTGCTGCTGCAGAGTCCCAGCAGCAACAGCAACATAGGTCCTCACGCGCGTTGCTGCTGCAGCAACAGCAGCAGCAACAACACCAAGCTTAGGGACTATGTACAATTTCTTATACAGAGGGAAGGAGTTGACAGCAGCAGCAGCAGGCAGATTGCTGCTGCTGCTGCTGCTTCTCCAGTACTGTTAACACCTGCTGCTGCTGCAGTAGCTGCTGCAGCAGCAGCTACTGCAGCAGCAGTAGCAGCAGCAGGTTGCATTTGTTTGTGGTTGCTGAGTCGGCAACCTTGTAGAGAGACACAGGTCTTATAAATTATTTAATATACTTAATGGTCTAGCTGCTGCTGCTGCTGTTGCTGCTGCTGCTGCTGCTGCTGCTTCTGCTGCTGCAGTGTTTGCTGCTCTCCCACTGCTGCAGACAACCGTCACTGTAGCTAACTCTTCCCCTAGCTAAATAGTTAGCTACCTACCTGGCTAGCAAGCTAGCTGGCTAGCTAGCTATCCAGCTAACTAGCTAACTAATTGTTAAGGAGTTGCCCAGGAGGGCTCACCATTCTCTGTAGTCCCAGCAACAAGCTAGCCAACCCCCACTAGCTAGCTAGCTAGCTAGCTAGCTAGCTAGCTACCTCGCTAGCTAGCTAGGTAGCTGGCTAGTTGGTTAGCTTGCCTGTCTGCTTGCCTGCTCGTTGGGCAACCAACGCAGCTGAGGATCGTCCTGGTCTGCCTACGGCTAGCTGGCTGCAGCAGTTGCTGCTGCGGCTGTTGCTGCTGCAGCAGCTGCTGCAGCAGGAGCTGCAGCAGCAGCAGTTGCTTCTGCTGTTCTGGATTGGTAGCTGCAACGGCGTGCAGCAACTAGCTGCCGTCAGTTTGCTGTTTGCTGCTGCTGCAGCAAAAACATACTATTTGTATAAATATATAATTACTACATATAAATATATTTATATATTTATATATATTTATATATAAATATAAATATGTATTTATATACATAAATATAAATATATATATTTATATTGTTATATGTATTATATGTAGGTATAGATGTCTACTGTGTTACTGCCGCCTCCTTCCTCCATAAGACAATAATACAAAGAGTCACGCTGCTGCTGCTGCTGCTGCTGCTGCTGCTGCTGCTGCTCATTGTGGCTGCACCTCCTTTGGCGTGTATATACACAGGAAGTAGCAGCGACGGCGATCAGCACAGCGAAGGGCAACACACGTCAACAGCAGCAGCAGAAACGGCTGTAGTAGCAGCAGCAGCAGCAGCAGCGGCAACAGCAGCAGCAACAGCAGCAAGCAGTAAACCCCCAAGGTGTATGCACAAAGGGGAAGGAATGATGATGCACAACTTAACTTTCTTTAGCAACAAGAAAGCAGCCGCTAGAGCTGCAACAAATGCTGCAACAGCAGCAGCAACAGCAACAGCAGCAGCAGCAGCAGCAGCAGCAGGCCATGTAGGACAGGCCGCCACAACAACACACATACCTTGTTAATATGTAAAACACTAGAAACCCCGCATACAATTTAAGTACCCCCGATCATGCTGCTGCTGCTGCTGCTGTTGCTGCTGTTGCTGTTGCTGCTGCTGTTGGAGTAACGCCGCTGCCGCCGCCGCCGCAACAACAACAGCAGCAGCTGCAGCAGCAGCAGCAGCAGCAGCGAGCCCCAGGATGTTTCGCGACGCGATGAGGCAGCAGCAGCCATTTAGTCCTCAATTATATATTTATTTTTGTTGTTGTTCTTCTTTTATTTTATTATTTATTTCTTCTTCTTTCCTTCGTTCTCCCCTGCAGCAAGCCTTGCTGCTGAGACACTGGGGCTGGGAGCCGGCGCTCTCGCAGCAGCAGCAGCAGCAGCAACAACAGCAGCAGTTGGAGCATCATCAGCAGCAACAGAAGGAACTACACAACATTATATGCTACACTAGCATTCGTAGCAGCAGCAACTGTAGGATTAGTGGTGGGAGAAGCAGCAGCAGCAGCAGCAGCAGCAGACACTACGGGGGCATGCATCTAACCTTGTGGTGCTGCTCCATTGGGTAAGTTGTTGTTGCAGCAGCAGCAGCAGACAACAGCAGCAGCAGCAGCATTGGCAGCAACAGCAGCAACAACAAGAAGGTCTCTTCCTCAAGGATTCTTGAGCCCTATACCCTTCTTATACATAAAAGAAACAACAACAGCAGCAACATCAACAGCATCAATCAACAGCAGCAACTGCAGCAAACAGCAGCAACTGCAGCAAACAGCAGCAACAGCAGCAAATATAACTGGCCCTACTAATACAGGGAATACCACCAGCAGCATTCTTGCTATCCTCTGAAACCTTCAGCAGCATCATTACCATAAACATAAACATAAACATAAACAGCAGCAACAGCAGCAGCAGCAACAGCAGCAGCAGCAGCAGCAGTAATTATATAAGAATATAAATAATATAAATATATATTTAATGTATAAAATAAGATCTGGATATTTTATTGTGGATAAATAAATAAATAATAAAATAGAGTATATATATTATTGTGACCAATCAACAATTGCTGCTATTGGTGGTGCTGCTGCTATTGCTGCTGCTGCTGCTGCTGCTGCTGCTGCTGCTATTGCTGCTGCTATTGCTGCTGCTGCAGTAATGGGGGAACGTAGAAAACAATTATTATTAAATAATGGAGAGGTGGAGAGAAATTTACGAAAAATTGACGAAATTTGCGACGAATTTTTAGAAATTCAAAAAAAATTTAAATTTGAAAAAAATTTTCAAAAATATGAAAATGAGATAAAAAAAGAAATAAAAAAAATTATTAAATTTTATAATTTTGTTAAACAGATTCAGTACCAGCAGCAGCAACAGCAGCAGCAACAGCAGCAACAGCAGCAACAATTGCAGCAGCAACAATTGCTCCTGCAACAAAGTAATGGTGACAATAAAAATAACTTTCTTGAAATTACCAAAAAAAAAATCGAATTCTGTCTTGAAACTTTTAAACAAACAGAAAAAGAATTCAAACATAAAAATAATTATAATTATAAGGATGGAGGTGCAGCAGCAGCAGCAGCAGCAGCAGCAGCAGCAGCAGGAGTTGGAGTTGGAGTTGGAGTAGGAGGAGGAGGAGGGGCAGGAGGAGGGGCAGGAGGAGGTAGTGGTGCGACGATGACAGGAATTGAGGAAAAAAAACATCGTGATGCTGTTGCTGCTGCAGTGCAACAACTGCAGCAGCAAGCTGCTGCAATACAAGGAGAATTGAATATAAATAATGAACAAAAAAAAGGAGGAAATAAAAAAGAAAAAGAAAAAGAAAAAAAAAAATATGAGCAACTTTTATCTTCTTATAAACATCATATTAATAAATTAAATCAAATCTTACGTCTTGCTGACAGCAACATGTTATCTCCTGCTGCACTTGCTGCTGTTGCTGCTGCAGCAGAGGACTACAACAGCAGCACCAGCAGCAGCACCACCAGCAGCACCAACCCGGATCCAGAGCTTCTCTTTGATGCCTCTCTATACGATTGTCTGCATGCAGATGATGACGCTAAGCAGCAGCAGCAGCAGCAGCAAAACTCCGATCTTGATGTACACTCCGACGCTGCTCTCTGTAAGATTATTCTGCTGCTGCTGCTGCTGCTGTTGCTGTTATTTGGTGCTGCTGCTCTTGTTGCTATTGCTGCTGCTG